TGGAAAGCAGTTCTCTGGTTGTGGCAAATGCTGGAGACTGCAGAGCTGTACTCTGTCGCCGTGCTAAAGCTATTGAGATGTCTAGAGATCACAAACCAGTTTGTTTGAGGGAAAAAGAACGCATTGAAGCTTCCGGAGGATATGTGGATGACGGTTACCTGAATGGACAACTCAATGTGGCTCGTGCTTTAGGAGATTGGCACCTGGAAGGACTAAAATCAATTGATGGTGGTCCCCTTAGTGGAGAACCCGAACTTATGAGCACCAGACTTACAGAAGAGGACGAGTTTCTCATAATAGGCTGTGATGGTATATGGGATGTCTTCATGAGCCAAAATGCTGTGGATTTCGCTCGTCGAAGGCTTCAAGAACACAATGATCCAGTGATGTGCAGCAAAGATATCGTTGACGAGGCTTTGAAAAGAAAGAGCGGGGACAATCTATCAGTGGTTGTGGTGTGTTTTAAGAAGCAGCCACCTCCTAACTTGGTTGCACCACGCGGAAGGGTGCATAGGAGCATTTCTGCAGAAGGTTTGAAGGAGTTGCAGAGTTTCTTGGATACCTTGAAAGATTAAGACGATATATCGTGGTCTTTTTGTTTTATTTTCTTTTAGTTTTTCGGTTATCGTAGGAGTTCTTTTCTTAGGTGTTAAAGATCCCTCCTCCGTTCTTTTTCCTCCAATTGTTGTTTCTAATTCTTGTAGTTTATGCTGAAATGGTTAGATGATGGGAGAGAATAACAAACCAACTGTAACATGCGGCTCTGTTCTCTGATTACCAACATTTTATGCGTTTTAGGTGGTTCTGGACCTTCTTGGTAATCTTGATTTATGATAATATTTCCATTAAGTTTCTCATTGAGTCTTGTTAGCAGTATTATCCAACTTAGATGCGGGGTTGCATTCAGCTGGTTACTATGGATTTTGAATGTCTTACGTTTACATGAAATCGTTAACTTAATTTCAGCTGTGGACCTGTGGTTCGAAAATAGTTTACTCCATATTTACTCGAGTTAGCTTCTAAGCTTCATTTTTGAATTTTGACTAATAATTTAGTCATCCATTTTCCCCTTTAGCTTCGATAGTTCTAAATTCTTTATGCTTTCGTATATGTAAACTTAAAATTAAAATCTCATTAAAGTAACACAGGAAACGTCAGAAGTTCTCTAATCGCTTTTTATAATTAGAGTTGTTGTTACAGAAGACATCAGGGAATGAAAGCGCGAAAAATCCTTTTTCTGTCTTCTCTTCACAAAGGAAGGAAGCATTAACAAATACCTCTTCTTCTTCCTTTGCCTGGGCATTTGGATCTATTAGCAGTGGAGGACGAACTTTAGGCTTTTAAGAGGGGGAATCTCGTTCTTCACCGGGTCATCGAGTGATTAGCCTGCTCAATTCATTTTTCCATTCGATGATCTTCTGGATCTCATCGAAAATGTTTGATGATTCTTGGGACTTCTTTGGCGACCGTGAAGTCACCGGATGAATTGTCGAATTTTAATTAGATTAATGGTGTGTTCCCATATCAACAACAATAACAACAGTATTATCCCACACCGTGGGGTCTGGGAAGAGTAATGTGTACGCTAACCTTACCCCTACTTTGTGAGGATAGCGAGACTATTTCCAATAGACCCTCGGCTCAGGAAAGTATAAGTACCACATTAATGAAAATAATGACAAGAAGGGACAATACCAAAAGCCCTATAAAAGCATAATAAAGACAACAAGATAGTAAGGTTATCAACAATGAAAGAAAACAACGGTTAGTCATAAAAACCTACTGCCAGCAGAAAGCGAGACTGCATGCCAATACTACTGTTATGAACACTCTATACTACCTACTCTACTACCCTAATACTCGACCTCCATACCTTCCTATCAAGGGTCATGTCCTCGGTCAGTTGAAGCTGCGCCATGTTTTGCCTAATCACTTCTCTCCACCTCTTCTTTGGCCTACCTCTACCTCTCCGTAGGCCCTCCAAAGTCAACCTCTCACACCTTATCACCGGGGCATCTGTGCTCCTCCCCTCACATGACCAAACCACCTAAAATATATTACTACTATTTATGTTAGAACTCAATAGATCATTACGTTAAACATTATTTATAACTTGTTGAGGTTGTTACTGATTATATTGCATCGTTTTGTTACTTTAAATATAATATTTATTTTGATTGTTATTTAAATTTTATTATATCCTATTATTAAATTTATTGTTATGTAACAATGAAAATATCCCTTTTATGTAACAACCGATTTGGTGTAGTCGCGTCGTTACCTTATTTTTTTCCTCATGTTGCCATGATTATAATTTTATATTACTCTCTATCTTACCTTTTTAAATAATTATTTTATCTCATGCTCTGTTTTTTCTTTATAATATTATAAGTTAATTTTTTAAATTATCGGTATATGACATTATGAAACGATAAAAAATAGTATAATTTATCTAAATAGTATGCTCATTAAATATAACGATACAATATGTAACAACCATCCGAGCAAACGGTTAATTATGTGAACTGTTTCATTCAAAAAAATTAAATTATTAGAGTTAGCACTTTTAATTCACATCACATCACAAATTCCCATCATTCAAACTTTTCTCAATTCCTAATCACTTTCTTCTTGTATATACAATTTGGACACATGCTGATCATCCATGGAGATGTACTTTTTATAATGAGGGAGATAGGCACTCACAAGTTATGCTTATCTTTTCCTGAGCCGAGGGTATATTAGAAACGACCTTTCTATACTCACAAGGTAGGGGTAAGGTTTGCGTATACAGTACCTTCTCCATACCTTACGGTATGAAATAAAACTGGGTATGTTATTGAGATAGGCACACTGTCATATAACATAAACGGCCATATGTACATAATCCCCGACTCTAAAAAATAGGTCCATATGTACCATAATCTTTGACTCTCAAAAATCGGAATGATTGTTTGTAGTCGAGTTTTTTTCTCAAAATATGATTTTTTGATAGAATTTCAAAAAATATACAAAATGCATGTGAAATGTGATCATCCGTCTTAAGTTAATTGAAATAGATAATGACATTAGGTTAAATCGCATTTCTGAAGTGTGAATCAAATTGAATAAATCGGATATGGAATGTGACTTCTAATGCGACTTGTAAATAGCATATCCCAAATGTGACTTATACAAATGCGACTTATAAATTGCATATACTAAATGCGATTTATAAATTGCTTGCCTACGTTTCATAAATCGCATCCTCCAAATGCGACTCATAAATAGCATACATTTAGATATGAGTCTTATAAACGCATTTCTTAATTGACGAATATAAGTCATAAAATGTGATGGTATACAGAGCTCTCTCTCTCATGATCTGCATTACTGCAAAAGGTTTACAGCAGAAATGGAAGTCTCTTCCGTACAAATGCTCTATACACATGTGACTTCCTCTGCCTCGAAACTGTAGCCTCTGCATTGCTACTCCAATTGCGGCTTTTGCCATTTCTTACAATTTATTAATTGAACTTCAGTTTCACTCTTCTTCTACTTGTGCAGCTCATTTTCTGCGCTGTTCAACGATGTCGCTTAGCTGATGATCTCTGCAGATTATCCATAAAATTGACTTCCTCTTCTCGATTTGGATGCCCGCTCGTTCGAATTTCAGGCGATTTCTCTCTATCTCTCTCTCGATTTTGTTGGTGTGTGTGTGTGTGTGAGAAAATGCGAGCAGAAACATGTATTGCTTGTTAAGTTGCAACGCCGTCTGTGTGCGTGCGTGTGTGTTCTGGTTCTTCGTTCAGAAATTCGTATCTGCGACTATGTATGTCATAATTCTGTATATGCATGTATATGATATAGAAGATGTGTCATCTGGAAGTGATTCATTTTGAATACGCATTGGCTAGTTTCCTCTGGATACGGAATTTACATTTGCATTCAACTTATATTTTCTCAATTCCAAAAATCAAGTCTATATAATCAAAAAACTATGTTTCAATCCGAAGCTAGATGAGGTCGCTATACAGATCCTGACCATTCTCCTCTTCGGTATTGAACAGGTTTGAGCTATTTTACCATGACCTTCAACCTACAGTGATGCTACTCCTTTCTCCGGGCTTGAGACTGGTTTTAGTTTGTGTAGCTCGCGTGGAAGAGCTAATTAACAACACAAAACTAGTTATATCTTTTGGTTGAGTACTCAAATAAGTATAAATTGGTCGGTGTGTTAACTTGACGACTGATTTGTCCATGCTAATCTGTCTAATTCACATTTTCAATGGTCCTATTGGTTAGAATAAGGAAATGAGATTGCATTTCTGAAATAAACTGCATATTGATTTGAACTGTTGATCGAGTGTTTTGTTAATATAGTTAGCAGAATCTATGAGGCCTAATCACTGAAATTTCTTACGAACAGTTTCTGATACTGGTGTTGGAAGCAAATTGGAGGAATACCAATGTTTGAAATATAGAAACGATGCTGTTCTGACTAATCAATGGGGTAAGCAATTGGCAATTACATGCTTGTTATTTTTTTACTCTATTTTCTAAGCTATATTCCTCAGAGAGTTTTACCTGATATGCATGTAACTTTGGTTTAAGTTTCAGTAGATACCTATCGTCTAAAACATATCTGTGTATCGTATATATGAAAGAAACAAGACCTCATACTTTTATTCATCATTGCATAGACAGTAGTTCCTGTGGTTCTTAAATGGTGCATGTGACATAAGCCATAACTCTGGACTTTATTCTGACCGACTAAAATGCTGATTAAAGCACAAGAAAAAGTCGCCTTTGTATTCCATTTCTTGGAATATGAAGCATAACTTCATGCAACTTGAAGTTACTAGGGGCATTATTCTTCAGTTTTGAGCCAACAGATTAGGGAGCTGAAAAGGAGGAGCATATGGTGGGATGAGATGAAAGAGATAGATAAATATGAGGATTCTAGTGGCAAAGCAACAAAGCATTTTAGCAAATGACCAGGTCACATAAATGCCTTTGTTTTACTCCCATGGCTGCCGGACAAGAAAACTGGAAAAGAACATAAAGAAGGAAAAAAAGTACTAACTAATATAAGAGTTCAATTTTTAATTATTCAGTTTCTGGAGGTTCACAGGTATTGCAACTAAAAATCATGCGTCTCTGCTTTTTGTGTTCTCCTGCCTGGAAGATACAATTGAAAGCCTTTCATAACTTCTCTTCTGCCACATGTGAGTTTGCTGATGATATAGTATCTTTTACATTGTAGATGGGATGATTTCTCTTGCAACTACAAGTAAGTCCAACCTTCTTGGTGAATAATTCTTTTGCTTAGTCAAATTTTATTGTTAGGACAAAAATTGGGAAATTTTGTACTCCCTCTGTCCCAAATTAGTCATCACGCTTCTCTTCTCAAGAGTCAATTTGACTAATCTTCGAAGCTAAATTGAATTACATCAACTCAATATTTTACAATTAAAACTTAGATATTCAAAAACCATACGAAAAGTACTACAAGTTGCAATTTTTCTCTCTAAAATGTTGATCAAAGTTCACATAGTTTGACTACATCTTGGGACGGAGGGAGTATGTAGTATTT